TCACCTGTAGTCTAAGCACTTGACTCCACAAGAGATGGATTTATGCAGTTACCAAGTCACATAATTAAACGGTTTTCTGCATTTTATGGCTGAATAGATCAACACTATAGCTTAGATGCAAATTGTTTACACATCAGGTAATGGACCCTACTGATTTAGCACTCGCAGCATATTCCACTAATCCTTAAAACTGCAGGACCTCTGCTGTGTTCTGAGGCTGGTGTCCCTCCCTCAGGTACACCTTCCTGTGATCCACACTTCATCCTCACGGAAGCTGCTTCAATCTTTCACTGACTACAAAAGAATTGTGTGTTTTATCTGGCTTTCATGCCTAATTGGGCAATCCCTGCTTGGCACGAAGGATGGCAAGCTGAGAGAGACAACGTGTCGTGTCTTGGTCCAGCTGGGAAGAATGAGAGCCATCCCACGGAGCAGGCTGTGGAATACACAAATAAAGCAAGATGCCAAAGAGAGGAAATAACGTGCACGGAGCTGCCAAGACTGTGATGTAATGTCTCTGATTAGCTGCAGTCGGGTCTGTATCAGAAAAAACACCTGCCACGGGAGCTGCAACGCAGAGCAATGTGGTGTGACCTTGGGGATGGTCCCGTGCAGGGCCGGGAGGTGGACCCGGTGATCCTCCACGAGGAGGTGGACCCGGTGATCCTCGTGGGTCCCTTCAACTCAGCGCGTGCCGTGACTGAAGCCCGGACACCCCGGAGGGCTCCAGGGCAGGTGGTGTGCCCGGTGCCCGCGGGTCTCCTGCCAGCCCGGGCTGCCCGGGGTTGGCGAACAGCTGGAGAGCTCTGTAGGTTCGGCGTGTTTTTGCACCCACAGACAGGCTGTAAATGAGCGAGAGGCACAGCGGGGCGATGGGAGACGCGGGAAGCGGGGCACGGCTGGAAGGGATCGGAGCGCGGGGATCCCGGCGTGGCTCGGGGCCGACAGCAGCACCCGGCAGATGGAGCTGCGATCCCACTCGGGGCAGCGCTGCCCGAGCACAAACCGTGTGAGGAGTGAGGGCAGCTGACTGCACCAGCATCCCAGAGCTCCCGTGGCCTCTCCAGGCGGGAAAAGCCCCCCTGATACTCCCAGACATATGGTGTGACCCTTGGGGATGGTCCTGTGCAGGGCTGAGTTGGACTGGATGATCCTTGGGGGTCCCTCCCAAGTCAGCACGTTCCGTGATTCTGGGATTCTGGGAAAGCCCGGACTGTGGCCTGGCACCTCTGTCATCCTCTGCTCACCAGGCTCATCACCTTCATCCCAGGCTCTGAGGCACTGATGCCCGTGCTGCCCTTGCTAGATCACAGCAGTGTGTCCACCTGCACTTATCTGAATCCCTTCACAAGCATAAAACACCATCCACATGAGCTCTGTCCTTACATTTAGTGATGGACTGTACAGAAAATGGGATGTCTTTTCCATTCATAAAATCTTTTCTGTAAAGCTGACACAGTCTCAGCTGGACTGAGACACAATTTATTTTCAGCTGACTTCGTAATTATCAAAGCATTCCATTTTAATCAGGATTAAGGTTAATGAATCCGCCATAAAATCGTTTGTGGGTTTTAGTCTTCGTAAAAAACCTTACAAATATGTACTAGCTATAGAGAAATAATTAGGAGCAGAGTACAATGCAGTGTTATTTTCTGTCACAGCTAATCAGGGGAAGCCCATACATCAACATGACTTGGTGGTGCCAGGGTGACAGACTCATTTCTCCAATGAGCTGTTTTCTTCTTATATGGCAAAAAGCACTGAATCTGTATGAGATCATCGAGAAAAGTCCTCCTTCCTGAAAAATACTATATTCTTTTTTGTTGCCTAGCTACGTGCTGCTGTTACCTTAGAAGGCTGTAGATTCATCTGAGTGATTCTGGTGGAGCTGGTGTGCTGGAACAGAGGAGTGATGTAAATTTATAACCCATGCTTTGGGAAAGGTTATAAAAGAGAGGGATGAGTGTGAAAGAAAGAGCTTTTACAGAAAAGCAATTTAGTGTATTCGTCATGTTCCTTTTGACATTAGTTGTTGAATAAAGACCATTTCACCTCACAGCCCTGGGGGCATGAGCAGGCAGTGAAATCATAGACTTGAGGATTTTAATTCCAGAGTCTGATGCCAAGGAAATGTTTTCCTGGTTCATGTTCATTACTGCTGTTAGTAAGTGTAGAGAAGGGAAAAGACTGTCAAGGCCTGATTCTGACCTCATTTCCAAAACTGTAATGGGGAAAAATGCCACAAAAATCAACCAATTTGCTGAATTTCATTAGCACCAGAGAACGGGATGATCACCGAGTCTTTCAGTGAATATAAGTAGCTTTTGATGACTTGGAAAACTAAGAAAGCTCACTCCAAATTCCTGGAGCCCAAAGGCTCACACTGTAATGTGTCTGTCAAAGAAACCTCCGACAGCAAACTCCTCATGCAGGAGACATGCAGAGATTGTGAGCTGAGCAATCACTCCCTGGCACTGTCCCAGGGTGAGGAGCAGCTCAGGGTGGCACTGCCTCCCCAAAGGCTTCAGATGCTGGTGCTCACCAGATGTAGGGAAGTTGCCTGAAGGCAAAGTGAAATGAACAGGGTAATAAAGTTATTTCTTACCTGCTTCACTGTAACTGCTTTGGGTGTAGGATGTCCTTGAGGTGCATCATGATTTTGCAGTTCTATCTTTAGGACTGAGAGATTTTTTTCCACTGGAGTTTTGATTCAGATTTATCTAGTTAGGGCTGGCTTTCAAATTAAGATCTGCATTTGCTTTCACAAAATACCGTTTTCCAAGTCTACTGCCTGTAAAGGTCTTTATATAAGATACACACTTCATACCATACTGTTACCTGTCTATGCTTGTGCTTGCCCTCTGTATTTTATCATGAGCCTAAATACTGACCATTTCAGATTTTCTGAGAGAAAGTGGTAGATACTGAAGCTATTATGATTAACATAATTGTTATTATAACCTTTCTCAAGAATAAAATCAGAAAAGAACTTTGACAGTTTAAAGTGAAAATAAGAGAGTTTTTTTCAATTCCAGTAAAACTCTACACTAAAGATTTTGAAGGTTTTCACCAGAATATCTGGTATAGAAGCAGAGGAAAAGCAGCAACGAGACATTTAAAAGAAGCAGAGATTCCTATTACTGCTATGATGCAAATGTGGAATTTGCCAAACTCAGCACGTTCCAAGTGGAAAACTCTGAGCTCTTCCTGGAACAGATGATAACATCTCTCACATCCAAATTCCCACACACTTCACACGAATGATTCCATGACATCACTCACCACAGGAAAAGACACCATAAATTCTGCACTGGCTTACAGAGAAGTGTAAAGCTTTTCCAATCTAAATTCATAAGTCTCCCCTGTGACTGTGAGTTTTTGTCCTAGTTTCAAGCTTTCATTCATTGATATGAAAGGAAAATGGAATTTTCCCCACAAGGGAACCAAGAACAGACTTTATCACCTAAAGCCAAAGGGCAGCTGTGTTTTATTTTGGTCCCCACCAGGAGTCTGATGTGGGTGCAGTGACTGTGTTTGGACACAGAACTGAAACCACCTGTATAAGAAAAGAGAGATTGAACATTGCTAGTCTTTTTTTCTTATCTAGTACACAGAAGAGGGCAGCACAGTTAAAGTTTCACTTTAGGTTGCCACAAACATTTTAAACTTTGCTTCTGCCCCGTGTCCTCCCCTCGCTGATGGATCCACGTGGCTCTGGGTGCTGGGAGCCAGTTGGTTGTTTCCTCACAGGACCACAGGTCTGTTCCTGTCCTGGGTTTTCAACCCAACGAGACCTTTCCTTGTTCAGCTATAGATGGAAACATCTACAATATGGTGACCTCATCCAGATTTTCAGAGCTGCTGACAGGCAACTTTTAAAGACTTTGTCCTGCAGGCACGTGGAAAAATGGGTTCTGTGGGTTAGCACAAGGGGCTTTAGGGTGTTTTCTGCCCAATTTCCTGCCTTTCAAATGCTTAGATCCTCAATAGAAGAGAAAATGTTACTCAGTGCTCAGCTGACAGGGTAAACACATGCTAGGAAGTCTCAGGATTAACAAAGTTAGCAGAAAGCATCACTGTCCACTGTGGAATTCCATGGGAACATGGAGTTTGAATAACCTGCGTTTCTAATCTGTGTGCTGCTCGTCCCCTAACTTGTAAAAAGATGTATCAGCAAACAGAGAAGGGCAAATAGGGGTCATGTTTACACATGGAGTGAGTGAACACTTGGGGTTCCTCAGCCAGGAGAGATAATCACTGCACAAAGCTGTAAAAGCACTACAGTTATGAAAAACCATGAGGAAAATCTTATTCCCTGCTTTACCATACAGTAAATGGGGGTGTTGCAGAATATCAAATATCTACATGGGTTAAAAAACAGTTAGAAAAATATGCAGAAAAAACCCACATCAGGGGCCTGTAAACAAAAAGTTTAGTATGGTGGTTGGGAATGGGGAGTTTTAATTGTGTTTATGAAGTTCTTATTGTCCATTCCTCTTTACATATCTGCTTCTGACAGCTGCTGGAAAGTGGCTGTAAGCTGAGTCTGACCCAGGACAGCCCCTTTAATTTGTTATTGTAAATAGAGTCATTCCTCTGGCCAAGAGCTATTGCTGGTAAACCATAAATCTGACATTCCCAATTTGCTGCATTACCACTGTGGACTTCTTAGACAGACAGACAGACAGTCATTTACATCTGCCCACTCCTTAAACCAACTGCCTGTAAGTTCAGAAACCTTTTCATGGTCTCTGACTTCCAGATATTTCTTGTAAGGGGCTTCTGAAATCCCCACTAAGGAGAATACATCCCTCAGGAATTGTAACAGGATATTTAGCATTCCCCTCGTGGATGGGTGATGTTGGCTGTGGCAGGTTTGATCCTGAAACAGAGGAATTAGGGGTGATTAAGGAAAATAATTATGGAAATATCTTAGGTCATGTTCTGATTTTACTCCAGACTTGAAATGCAATAGGAGCAAACAGCTGACCACACGCAGTGCGTGCTAATGAGCCTGTCCAGGGAGGTGTCCAAGCTCTGACTGCAGCAGAGCTGTCACTGTGCTGGTAGGAAGTAAACCTGAATCTGAAAAACTCATATTTAGAGGCAATTTAAAGTTAGCCTAAGACAGACTGCTTTTCTCCAGGATATCCCAATGTTTATTAGTAGTTTACTAACAGTGTGTTGCACTCTGTGAAAAAGCAGCAGAGGAACTCCCCGAGTGAAAATGAAACTGGATCTGCCCCTTGTGCAGCTCCTTTTTTTCGGAGCAATGATTCACCTGGTTCCATTGGTCATGAGCTCATCCAGCAGTGGAAGCTTTTTAGCTTACTCAAAGCAGTGAGAAATTCAGAGCAGCTGAGAGATGAACCACCTTTCCAGTTATTCTTATACCAAGTTATTTTTTGCAAGCGTTTCACAAAGACAGGCCTTTGGTTTATGTCACAAGCATAATTATTTTATCATTTCCTACCTCAGAAATGAAAACACTTCTACATTTTGTTTCAGTGCCAATCAGTGATCTCCAGAATTTCTGGTCTGGAGCTTAGAGGAAGAACAGCAAGCCATGAGAGGAACCAGCTTGTATGATGAATTTTGTAGCTGTAACAATGGATTTAGCTCGGTTTTTGCTCGTGTGTCCCCCTTGGCTCTCTGACCTTTCTAAGCTGTGTCTATTGACTCCAAAGCTCATATTTCTCACATTGTTATTTGCAGCCCCAATTCGTGGCTATAACTACTTCATCAAAAATATTACCTGCCCTTAAATGCAAGAGTAATTATGAGAGAAATCTCCTTGGCTGAAGTGATGGCCAGTGTCCAAAAAGGACATTTATCAGTTTTCTGACAGAGAATTTTCTGCTAAGGCTGAAAGCTCCAGCACTGCTGGTGACTTGGACAGTCCAAGCTGTTGCCTACTCTTGATGCCACATCTGCACTTATATCCTACTTTTTGTAGGATAAGGAAAAAGGATATTTTTTTCATGTCGCTCTATCTCTCTCTCTTGCTCAGGTTAAAAACCCAACACATTTCATACTTCTCTGTGTCTTCTCCCACTGGCCTAAGTCTGCCAGTTCTGTAACAATAATGGTAAATGCTGCTGTCTGTTTTGCAGTCCAGGTGTTTGGGAGGTAGCCAGGCTGATGCTTCTGCAGGAAGCTTCGTGGAACTTGGCAAGAACAGACCCTCGTGGGTATCTCCACAGTTTGTGTGGAAATAACTTCACATGATCACACAAGGGCTGATTAATTAGCCTTGAGGCAGAGCAGATGAGTTGAAAAGCAAGGAGAGGAGAAGCCCATGGCTTCCAGCACAGAGCCCCATGAGAATCATGCTGACTCCCAAACTTCACTGCTGCTAATCCAGTCCTTGTGCCCTTCAAAATATTCCCATTCTTCCTAACCAACTGTGAAAAATTCCATGGTAAAACAGGAGCAAAAGGAAAACCAGGAATTCAGTAAAAATATCAGTTTGATGTAAAGAAATTTAAATGCTATTTGTAATTTGGCAATTGACCTTGAACAAACACTGAGGAGGTGGAGTCACATAGTTAATTCAACCCCCCAAATTCTGCTTTTTGACCTGAAAATGCAGAGGTTAGGTGTAAGGTTTTACATGCTTAGTTGTCACTGCACCCCCTGCAAAGTCTCTGCTTGTCACTTGGGCCATGAAGTGCTCTCTGCACCTGATACAGCACAAGGGAACTCCAAGCACAGGAGTTCCCCCAGGAATATATAACTGGAAAAACAGGACTGAACTTCATGTTTGACATTTTCCAGATGATGAAAGGTACTCAGGCCAAGAGAGTGCACTGGAAGTGAACTCTGACTTTCTCAGAAGCTAGAGGAAAAATGGGAAAACAGACACAGAAAGAGTAAAAGAGGAATAAGATAGGAAAAAAGTAACTGGATATATTACAGCAGTGAACTACAAAGAAAGGCATCTTGAGAGAAAAGCACATCAAGTAAGGGAAAGAGTAATAAATAAGACTAGAAAAGCAAGACATGAAAAACTCTTTCAAATAGAAATAAATTACAGTTCATGTATGTGTTAGGGGCATGGCCACATAGAACTGGAAACAGAGGGCAGGTGAGAAAGGAGATAATCTTAAAATCCTTCAAAGAAGCTAAAAGATCAGCATTTGAAGCCTGTGGACTCACATGCACCCCAGTGAAACCAGCAGGTGCCCAGTAACGTGCACATGAAAATACAGCAGCAACTATCAGCAGAATTACATGCTGTGTGAAGATACATGTTGTGTGTCTCAAGTGATTAACCTGAATTATCAGTCAATTCCTTCCAACTTCACAAGTTAGCTGGACCTATGAGGATCAAAGGAGACAAACCAGCTCTGTGAACCCTGTGATCTGCCCCCTCTCTGGTTCCAGGCACAGCTCCTGGGGGGTGGGGACAGCCCCGACTGCCCTGGCACAGCCCCTCGGGGCCACCTGTGCTTGGCCCTCCAGGAACCAGTGAAGCCCTGGGGACGTGACCCAAGGCCATCTCACTTTCTCAGAGCACCCAGTGCCAGGTCCTGAGTAATATCCTGTCACTGGTGGTATTCCAGAAGCATTAACTCACCGGTTGTGCCGGGGTGTTGGCGAAAAACCCCAAGCATTTGCCGCAGAGTCTTGAATTTTCTGTTTGATTTCTGCTGGGTACAATTTTATTTTCAGTCGCTTTTCCTGCTGAAACACTCTGCTCTCAAAGTTTTTATTTAGCACTTTTACATATGCCTTTCCTCACAGTTTTTGGCTAGCAAGGGGTCTATCTTTAAAACATCCATCATTCCCATCAGCACAAGGCCTGGAATAAAATACGGCTTCTTTAGGTCCTGTCAGTGAAATTCCCATTTTTAGTGTTTCCAGCCAGTAGTGTTCCAGAAGTGGCACTATCTTGTTGGATCTGTTGCTTTTCAGATTTCCCTGCTTTCACACAGAAAAGGATTAAAAACACCCCCAAGTTTATATGCCAACTTCTAAAGTCTGACCCCCCCACACAGCAAAGGCATGAAAGAAAGTCTGGCCCAAAAGACGTAAAAACCTCCC